AAAAAAAAAAAAAAAGACTGACAAAAACTCACAGCTGGCTGGACTTCTACCAGGCAGTGTACTTGGACCAAAGATTTATTATTGAATTTGTGCTGCCTGGCAGGAAGGTTGCAAAGTAGAATCCCTCTGTGGCGGGTCTTTACACTCAGGGAGTGTGTTCAGTGAAATCATAAAGTGTTAGGACACATTTTGTGGTGTTTTTCCTGAACTAAAGCACATTGGATTCGAAATAAAATGACTATGAGGTTAAAGGTCCAGTGTAGGGTTTTGTGGTATCTACCAGTGTAGCTGCAGATCCCAGCTCCCACCCTCCCCTTACAAGGGTAAAGGAGAAGTGCGTGAAAAACGTGAATGGCTAGAGCCAGTGTTTGTCTCTTCTTGGCTACTCTAGAAACATGGCAGACTCCATGGAAGGAGAACCCTGGGGTTTATATTAACAGCTCATTCTAAGGTAACGCAAAAACACAGCGATTTCTATATTCAGGTGGTTATACACTAATGAAAACATAGCTATAAATATAATATTTTTGCCAATAAATTCTCCTAAATGTTACGCACAGCACCTTTTTAAGGGGCAGAAAGTAAATAAACAACTTAAGTCATATTTATTAGTCAAGTGTGAAGTCCTTTGCAATCAGTTATTGCAAAGGACCTCACAAACATAAGGAGTAAACAAACATAAGCAGACGTTTGGCATCTTCTCAGCTGATGTTCTGCCAGGCCTGCACTGCAGTGACCCATTAAGTATTGATCTGTTGATTTGCAATTTAGAAGTCGTCTTGGCATCTATGTTGGAGCGTTGTACAGACTTCAAAAACACATATAGCCACTGATTTCCCTAAATTTAATTGCAATTTTTCCATGTCTTATCGAAAAGGTTGAAATGCACTACAAAGACATCTAAGGTTTACATTACAACCAAATTTAGCCCAGTTTTAACACCTAAATGTTTTGGCCATGCTAGTCGTATTGCTCTATGCATGACAGTGCCAGTGTTTGGTTGGTCTCCAGAGGATGAATTGTAGCTCCTTCTTCACCTCAACATTTTAATTTGTCCCGTTCTTTACCAAATACAAACAAAACTAATGACTCATAAGCCTTAACTTTAATTCTTATTATAATTCTTTGGATACTTTGTCTATATGTATGTGATGTATATTGTCCTGCTGCACTATCCTTAAATCTGGGGACTATGTATAAAAAAGGACTGTGACTCGTAAAGTCTTGACCCAGTGTGGATGTAAACAGCCCCAAATGGAAGCTGAGATTCAGCAGTTTAACCTCATTGTCAGAGCCAAGGCAATATTTACAGACTGCTCAGTATGTGCACCCAGGGCCTGTATTTACTTCCTGTGGAAAGTTGAGGGGTCTGCACGGCTTCCTGAGTGTGCAGTGACCCTCAACCCTGTCAATCATCACATAAACACTCACGTACACACACACACACACACACACACGCGTGCGCACACACACAAACACAGTTACAGGGTTGAGACCAGCTGCTCTGCTGCTGATAGACAAGAGGCTAACCTTTGTCTTGGCCTCCATCCAATATCAGCCTTGCTTGCTGCTGCTGTGCGTGTTTGTGTGTGTGTGTGGCCTGAGGAAACAGGTGTAGTCTCACCTGAGATCATAAACAATAATCCATGAACAATGATGGTGGAGCAGTGAAAGCCTCTGTATGATGGTGTTTTTTTTTCCCGTGCTGGCCACTGCAGGCTGCTGGAATAACATGAACTGTGTGTGTTTGTGTATTTTTCCACAGACGTACGTGTTCACTGATGAAGAGGACGAGAAGCTGAGGGAAAGGATGGGTGAGTTGCACACACACACGTACGCACACGCACTCACAGAGCAGTTTTGCTGAGTAGCAGCAGTGTTATCTGCAGTCTGCGAGCAGGAAACCAGGAACCAGGCTGCTGACTGGGCAATACTGTGTTTCCATGAAACGCAGGAAGTCATTTCAGTTCAATCAACAGGCCATTCCTCCTCTTACTCATGGAATTGTTTTACTTTCAATGAGGTATTCTTCTCACTGTCGGACACACTGTACAACTAAAAATTTTAATGAGGATATTTATTAGGGTGTTTTCATGCAGTCGGTTGTAATGGGAATGAAACCGCTTTGAGTCAAAGTGGGTTCATCAAATAAAGATCTTCCTAGGGATGTAACAATACACATTAAACTCAATTCAATACAGTTCACGGTACAGGGTTCGATAAGATTTTCTAACTATTTTAACAAAATGAGATTGAAGACAAATTATAAGATTCCTTCATTTCTTAGACAAAAATCTACAAAATATATTTTCTAAAGTTATGTAATTCTTTTATAGAACTTTTTACGGTATGACTTTAGGGCATTAACAAACAATGAAAACAAAACAATGTATATTTCCTTTTTTTTTTGTAAAAGTTAAAGTAAAGTTTGCGCCTTGATACCACAATTAATTTTTCATTTCACCAATTTTAATTTTGACAT